TCATTAGGGTAAAGGCAGAGCCCTATACACCGCAAACATACGGGAGCAGAGAGAGAGAGAGAGATACAGATATTCTAATAGGTGATATCACTATAATGAAGCAGCTTTCTATCGGAGTACTTGCGCATGCAGACAGCTTAGACATACACTGAAGGACTCAGTCGGGGTGAAGACAGCTGCTTTAGACAGCGGCATTACAATTCTTATTTTGGTTAATAACAAAGAATAAAATCTCATATGAGTAACTCTGAATAGGGTTTTAATCTTACGGAGGAAGAAGAATCAAAGTAGGGTCTAAAGGTGAAAGAAGTAAAGGGGCTGCTCGTTAGTGCAGAGGCGCTGCAAGAAACGACAAAGAAATGCATGCATGCATGCATGCATGCATTTCTTCATGCATGCATGCATGCATTTGATCATGATGAAGATAAAGGCTTTAAAATATTATATTCAGAAATCCATGCATGCATGCATGCATTGCTCATGCTGAAGAAAAAGGCTTTAAAATATTATATTAACTTAAAATACCTGAGGTGCAGCAGAAGCAAACACAAGTGAGCAAGATTGTTAGGGTAAGGAGCAAACAGTAGATAAGCTAACCATTTGAACCTCCTCTATATACAGCATTAAATCTACTCTAAAAGCAGCCCCAAGAACTCTTATAAGGCGGCAAACAAGCTCAAGAATAACTCAGATAGAAAACCAGTAGCTATAACTATAGAGGGTGTAATGAAGGCAGCAGCATATCTCGAAACCCACAAGCTACAAACAAAGTACTCAGCTGCATGCATGCATTTCAATAAATAATAGCACACGATTAAAGGATGCATGCGCATGCAAAGAGTTACCCCACAGCAACTGATGGCTTCCGCTACCATACGCAGCTGTCTTTTGAGCAGATGAGGCTGCTGAAGAGAGGAGACAGCAGCAGCAGTTGTGCTGCACCTGCTGCTGCAAGGCAAGCCCGCATGCAGACCCAACTATGTCTCCTTTGCTGCACCAATAAACACTGTAAACAACTTCAAATCATTTTTAAAAACCTTATCAAGCAGCCTGCATGCAAGTAGATGAATATGCATGCATATTTTTGCTTAAGATAGGACTTGCTCCCAATATTATGAGAAAGTGTTGTAAGCTGCAATCTGTTGAAATAAATTAAGGTAGAAGTAGAAGATATTAAAAACAGCAGCAAACTACCCCCTTTCCTATCTGCAGACAGTGTAAGCATAGCAGCAACAGAAGGGTTTGGGGCTGGGGTAAGGAGACAGCTGGAGATGAGTTGTTGTAGCGAGCCCCTATGCAATGAATGCTCCAAGGCCTTTTAATATACATACAGAAGAACAGCTTAAGCGTGCATGCATGCATGCATGCATGCATGCGCTGCCTCCTCAGGTAAAACAAGAGTGTCTCTGCATATATATATATATATATATATAATGGATTGAGTCGTGCTGTCTAGACAAACATTGAAGAAAGAATTGGAGTATTTGTATGTTTGCATGCATCGACTGTTTACTATGACGAAGTAAGAGTGTCTCTGCATATAAAAAAAGATAAATATATAATGTATGTGCAAAGCAGAGAATAAACAATAAAATATATATTGTAGGATTTCAATAGTAAATACAAAAACATTAAGATATATCATACACCCTCTACCATTGTTATTATTATTAGTATTATTATGAATATTAATATAATATATATATATATATTATTATACCTACTATATATTTATGCATTACGTATATTCTTTACATATACATATATATATATATATATATATATTTTATGTGTACAACATGTATATGTACATTCATATATAATATTGCATACATTACATATACTACATTATTAGTTAGAAATAAGAAAATATTATTATTATTATTATTATTATTATTATTACTATTGCTGTTGTGGTTGTTGTTGTTGTTGTTGTTGTTGTTGGTGTTGTTGTTGTTGTTGTTGTTGTTGTGTGTGGTTGTTGTTGTTGTTGTTGTTGTTGTTGTTGTTGTTGTTGTTGTTGTTGTTGTTGTTGTTGTTTCTTTAACTCTCTCTCTGCGTTTATATTTTTATTATATGTTGGTTCGCCTTCGTGGAATGATGTCTTAATATTAATTATTTAGATCCTTACTTCTTTATTATTTATTTATAATATATTTTTGTTTTATTTAATATTATTATTGTTGTTTGTTTGCGTTTTAAATTCTTTTTCTTCTTCTTTCTGACTCCGCTGCTTTGGGGCTTTCAATCGGCGCATGCAGCGGTCAGGTGTACGTACACCTTGAGAGCGTTTATAATTGCATTTATTATGTATTTAGATATAATAACTAAATAAATATAATTATAAAAGAAATATTTATCTCTTTAATTATTTATTATGCTTCTTGTTGAGAGCTTTACTTGAGGCTGTGTGTAAGAGTCTGTCTTCTCTCTGTCTCTGTCTTTATTTATTTTTATTTTTATCTTCTTTTATTGTTTTTGTCTTATTCTTCAATTCTTTTCTTTTCTTTTGTTTCTTTTTCATCACATTGTTCTTTCTTCCTAGACACAACACCAATACACCCCACTGAAGGGCTTAGCTTAACATAATATTATTTTATTATTTTCTTTCAGTTTTATTGTTTGTTTCTTTAAACTCTTTATAAAGACAGCAGCAGCATATATAATTATCTTTCTTAGTTTATCTAATATCTATTTATTCTTATATTATTATTTTATTGTTTCTTTGTCTTCTCTCTTTATAGACACAACCAGCCTATTATATATATACTCTTTCTTACTGCGTCTATTATATCTTTATTTGCTTTAAACAAAACAA